TTCTCTAATAAAGAGGTGGGGGCATCAGGACAGTCTCTCAACCTGGACTCGGGGTACCACCCCTCTCCTGAGTAACGTTCTGTGGTAGGGCCCACGGACACCTTGTCACAGGGTGAGAGGTCATGGGATACATACCAGAAGGCAAAGGCTGTGTCAACTCTGGGCTGAAACATGAGGGAATGGAGTCTGAGCCTGAAGACCACTGCTAGAAGGTTCCTGGTATACACGTGTATGTCAGGGGCTAGCACACAGAGGGTTGAGGTGCCCTGAGTTGATTCAGGGCTGATGACATCACACTAACGCACCCTATGAGCTTGCTTTCCCTCAAGCCACGGTGGCTAGTGGCAGTAAATCCTGCCTGGGTTTTCTGGTGTTGTGTATCTTGGTCGGCACCAGATGTAAGATGCTAGACCCAGGTACCTAAAGCTGACAATGCAGTCACTGGTCTGAGGATGCCCCACTGGCTGGGTCATGCTGGGCATTGATCTGTCCCTGCCTGGTCTCTTTCTTTCCACAGGGAGGGAGACCAAAAGCATCTCCCAAATCCTGGCTGATCAGAACTTGCGAAAGCAGAACGAATATGTAGAGGTAAAAGCCTGGGGTTGCAGGACTGTCCCCATGGTGCTGGCACTACAGGGCTTGGGGGAAGGCCCAGATGCTCTGGGGGGGGGGTGGAGGCAACTCCAGCCCCAGATACAGATTTTGGGGTGCAGCGGGGTGCTCTGTTCACTAGCTCAAACCAAGAACATACTATGCCACGGTGCACTGATGTCGTAGCTTCTGTAGAACCAGTGAGGACCACCTGTCCTGGCAGGGTGGGTACCAGATGAGTCTAGGACAGGGTCTTATTTCAAGCTGAAGTTGGATACCAAGGGTGTTGGCATCTGCAGGGACGGGCCCAAGGGAGGGTGTGTTGAGTAGGCAGGAGTGGCTGCTTAGATCTGAGGGAAGGACCTGAAGAGTTCTGTATGCTTCCCACCCCCACCCCCGCTCCTGTGCCTCCCAACCTTGCTCACCTGCAGGAGACTTTATGACACTAGCGGCCACCCAGCAAAGAGGAGTTGAGGGACCCTGGCCTTTTCTGAATTCTCAATTCACTTTACCTTAGGACTGCTATAATACCACGCGTTAGGGGAAAGGCTTGTGTGGCCGACAGGGTTCCTGGCTCACAGGATATAAGCTGCTCTAAGGTCTTCTCTGGATCTGTGTAGCAACAAGCAGAGCTCCTTCCCAATAATGGTTACAGTCCTGCTGTTTCTGTCTTCCCTGTGCTGCAGAAATGCATTAGCCTGAACCGCACCCTCCTGAAGAAGGAACTGGGCCTGGTGGAGAAGGACATCATCGCCATCCCGCAGCTCTTCTGCCTGGAGCTGCTGACGAACGTCCCCTCCAACCAACAGACCTCAAAACTCTACGCCAGGCCATTCTTCCCTGACATGGTGAGGGCTCCCGGGCGCATGGCTGGTTCAAACACAACCCGTGCTGCTGGCGCCTTGATGGCCATGGTGCTAGGTTGGCTTGAAATGGGGGCGTGACGTAGCCCCCAGGTTCATGTGCCTAGTACCAAAGCTGCTATGCTTCCGTTAAGAAAGATGGATATCAAGGAACAAAGCTAGGCGTGGTGGGAAACTCTGGATTACTGGAGCCCCTGGGGTCATAAAGCTGCCTGGGATAGGGTTCTCAGTCAGGGTCAGAGCAACAAATCCGGAGACAAAAAAATAGGGTAAGCCCATCAAGGTTAGCTGCTAGTCAGAGGGAATTCCGTGGTTTTCAGAGAAACAATGGCAGGCACTGGGCAACGAAGCAAAAGCAGATTGATTTCACTGAGATTGATTAGAGATGCCTTCATGGACATAGGCTTAAGTTTGGCCAACCCTAAGGAGGGGTACGTGGTTTTTCCCTGTATCGAAATCTATGCCCCTCCCACTCACCCACCCACACCCCAGAAGAGCTAGGGATAGCTTTTATTTCTGGGTTCTGGCCCTGCCTGACCCTAGTTCTATCTTAACAGCTGCAGATGGTTGTACTGGACAAGAATCTAGGAATCCCCAAGCCCTTTGGGCCCCATATCAAGGGCACCTGTTGCCTGGAACAGAGAGTCTGCGACTTACTGGAGCCCCTGGGCCTCAAGTGCACCTTCATTGAAGACTTTGACTGCTACCTGACCAACATGGGAGATGCCTGTGCCTGTATTATTGTCCGCCGGGTGCCGTTTGCGTTCAAGTGGTGGAAGATGATCCCCTAAGCCCTGGGTCCCAAAGCTGTCAGTCCACCCCCCCCCCCCCCCCGGCAGTGAATGGTCTTTACCATACATAAAGCAGTAATGGCATGTGATTCCTGGTGCTTAGGTTGAAGGGAAGGGGAAGCTGGAAGGGTAGGGGGGCCCCTCGGATCTACCAGCTTGATGCCTCTGGAGGGAAAGGGAAATGGGGGGGGCTTTAGATAACTACAGAGCAAATAAAGTAGGTTCTGAATGCAGCTTATGGAAGCTGCCTGTGTTTGGAGGAGAGGGCTGCTGCAGGAGCCTGCCCCACTTGGGCAGGATGCAGCCCCTAGACGCTGCTCCTTTGGAGTTTATAATGGGCAATACAGCTGGGCTTACTCAAGTGCTTTGGATTGATACAGCTAAGCCACCAGTTTAGGGGAGGCACACTGGAGAGGACTCAGGCTGGCGAGAAGACCCTAGAATGAGGCCAATGCTAAGACTCGTCTGGCCGGGAAGATAATGCCAGAACCTGACTGCCCTGAACCTAAAGCCCCCGTGGTACATGTACACCTTAGGGCTCCACCACCCAACTTGTGTGGATGAGAAAACTGAGGGTTGATAATTCAAAATAACTTATGTGACCCCTGTCCACCTCTGAAGCTCTTTTTTTTTTTGAGACAGGGTCTCATGTTGCCCAGGCCAGCCTTGAACTCCCTACATAGTCAAAAAGGGACCTTGAGGGCTGATGAGAGATGGCTCAGAAGGTAAACCTCAAGCTTGGACCCTAGGACCCACACAGCGGAACAGCAGATTTCCAACTTCATGCATGTAGGCAACCCTCATCCTCCTGCCTCCTTCCTACACAAGTGCTGGCCTGTGTATAACTATGGTTAACAGCAGGAATGGGCCAGGGTGGTATTGCATACATCTTTAATCCCAGCTCTCGGGAGGCAGAGGCAGGTGGATCCCTGAGTTCGAGGCTAGCCTGGTCTACAAAGCAAGTTCCAGGACAGCCAGGGCTGTCACAGAGTAACCCTGTCTCACAAGACCAAACAGTGGGAGTGTAACAGTGCTCAGGCGTGTTGTACAAGCGCTCTGCCGCGAAATGACAGGCCTAGCACAACTTCGGTGCACCAAGGCCAGGCCCTGGGACTCCTGCTTTCCTGGAGATGGCTAGAGAGGAGCTGGAGAGGTGTGTGGGTTAGGTGGCTGTTCGTCCAGGGGACCCAGTCTCAGCACCCACATGGCGACTGATGACTAATTTTAGTTCCAGGGACTCTGTCTTCTGGCCTCTGGGGCACTCGCTACATGGCACACGAAGCACACACACGAAGGCAAAACACCTAAACTTTTAAGCTTAGCTTCCTCTCATGTTGCTCTGCCCACCTCTGCTGACCTGGCTCCTAAGCCGACGTCTGGGCTCTCCAGCTGTTGTCCCTGTCTGGTGCCTGGACAGGGCTGCTCCTTAGGCCTCTCCTACACTCTAGTCACTGGGAACCAGGTCCCTAATGGGGCAAGGGTGTGATGGCAGGACCAGTGATGTAAGAGAGCTAGGGAGGCTGCTGGCCTCTAGACAGCTTCTCCACCAGCAGTTAAACAGGGACCAGGCCTGGTCAGGGTGGGGTCTCCAGTTCTGCAGCAAACTTCCCAGAGGCCCTCCCTTCCTGGAGGGGTGTGGGATGACTACAGCCTTTCAGCAGAGGTTCCCTGTGACTAAGTGTGTCACGTGACTACACCTCATTTCCTCCATAAAAGAGCAACAGTGACCCAACCTCAAGACTGGTGTGTGTTGCAGGAAATGACAGGATGCGCAGTAGCCCTCATGGACCTCAGTTCAAGCTCAGTTCCTGTGGCCTGAGACAAAAGGCTGACCTCAGCGCCCCCTGGTGGGTAACTGGCCAACTGAAGCAGCCAGATAGCCTTAGATCTCTTGTTCTTAATGTGGGGTTGCCTTCTCATAGACCCCACAGGACTAGGGTAGATGAAACTTGCTGAGATTGCTTGCTCATCTAGGTTTGATCCCCAGCACCAAAACCTAAAAAAGGCCAAGTCAAAAACATCTTAGGTCAACATTTAAGTGAGTGTGGTAGCACACATCTTCACTCCCAGCACCTAGAAAGCAGAGGCAGGTAGACCTGAGGTCATGGCCAGCCTAGTGTACACAGCAAAATTCAGGCCAGAGGAAGCTATGTAGTGACACCGTTTCCAAAACCAAGCCCACATTCAACACGCCCGACACCCATGAACATCAACAGCTAGCCGCCTTCATGCTCAGTACGCTCCCCATTAACCAAGGGCTGACACCTCACATATGCTGAAAGCAGGAAGCTAGCCTGAGCTACTCATGAGACCTTGTTGTACCCATGAAACTCCTGAGCTGGGTGGGACATGTGTCCTGGGGCACCTCCGTGGACACTCCACTAAGGAAGCCTCTGGCAGGCAGTTGTCAACATGCTGGCCTTTGGCCATTCATCATTTCTTAGGGATGGTCAGGGCTCTCTGTACCCCTCTAGCCCAGGATGGCCCAGAAGTGCATTAGGGGCTACTTTCACCCTCTTTGGACACTTCTTAAAAATATACATTATGTATACAGTGTTCTGCCTGCTTGTATCCCTGCAGGCTAGAATAGGGCAATAGATCTCATTACAGATGTTTGTGAGCCAACATATGGTTGCTGGGAACTGAACTCAGGACTTCTGGAAAAATAGTCATCTCTCTGGACACTTTTATGGGGCATGTGCACAGTGCTGAGGGTGTGGTCCACATTACTGAAGAGGAAACACAAGAGCCGAGGCAGAGTAAACAATGATGCCGTTTATTTAAAATGTTTACTCCAAGAAATATATATATAAAAAAAAATAAGACAATTAACAGCACTAAACCAGGCACCTTCAACCAAATCACACCATCCTCGCTTGTTCCCTTCCTGCTACCCTCTCATCGGTGACTGGAAGACTTCAGGAGTCCATGGGCGGCCAGAGTGGCTCCCGCCCAGGACTTCCCACTGTCCCTGTTCTAAAGGCGTTTCCCAGTGGAAAAGCTCAGGTGGACATTTTAGCCTAAAGCAAGGGGTTGTGGCTGGGCTCAAGGGTCTCTCCCCAGAAGGTACTTTCTGCTCAGCCCCCACCCCCGCACTACCCAGAGGAGTTGGCTGCTGGCTGTGGTCTGCTCCCTGGAAGATGAGCGCAGCTCAGCTCAGGGCTTACTGCAGCCTCAGCCCTCTTGGTGACCACACAACGTCAGGACACAAGGAGCAGACACTGAGCAGCACTGGCCAGAGAGCAGGGAAGGCTCAGGCGCACGTGGAGGCGAGGGGTGGCATCCGGGGTGACCTGGACAAAGCAGGTTAGTTTGCAGGAGCACTGCCACCGCAGAAGCTTGTCCCTGGACTGACTATCACTGGACACGTGATGGGAGACAGTGGGAACTCGGATCCGTTCCCGCCAGGCCATGGCGCTGGCCGAGACAAACACACCTTGCAAAGCCAGAAGCTGCTGCGGAGCACTGGGGCGGGAAGGAAGCAGCGACTACATCATTTTTGGCATTTTAACATAGAGACAGTTAACAAGTGTCACAACACCAGAAGCGAAACCATAAATTTGAAGACCAGAATTAACTTTCTCATCCACCCAGCCTCACACTCCAATCCTTCTCCCCGACTCCCCCAGAGCACGACGGAACTAAACCTAGTTAAAGCAGCTGGCACAACCCAGACCCTCTGGGAACCAGGGGCCCCAGCCCGAGCAGCCACCACACTTGGGATCCAGGAAAGGCACCTTGGAACTCAGCCGCAAAGTCAATACCAGGACGGGCTCGGGAAGAGGGCACTTGTGGGGATGTGGGTGGCAGTCACAGCGTCTGCGCTGACACGCGGGGCAGGGGATTTCATCAGGAATCCCAACTATTTGGTACCAGAGCCAAGCAAATGCAAGCGCCAAAGAGCATTGGGGCCAGCAGAAGAATGGCCAAGTCTCAGAACAGGGTGCTATCCCAGGCCGAGGGGACAGCAGGAGCGGACAGGCGAAGCACGCGGGCGACAACAGGTCACAGAGGACTGAACACACACTTGACTGCTGGCTGATCTCTAACTGGGAAGCGCAGTCTGGGCTCCACAGGGACCAATAAACCAGGCCCTTCAACAACACAAAGGGTCCCCACCTTGCCCACCCCCATATCCCATGGTCCCCAATTCTCACTTGGACTCGAGAGCTAAAGTAGATATAAATGGCTAAACACAGAGATCCCAGTTCCCCCACCAGGGGGGAAGGGCTGGTTCTACAAATGCTTCAGCCAAAAGGCAGTGGGCCTTGCAGACAGCAAGCCAGCAAACAGCTATTGGGTGGAGGTGAGGGGCAGGAGGGCCCACAAGCAAGTGACCAGGTCTCCCAAAGCAGGCAGGCAGGAGCTGGGTGGAGACCGAGCACTGGGATTTCTTGGCCTAGAGGCTGCTGGTTCCTGGAAGGGCCGTTTCTATCTGGGAAAGTGGCGATTCCTCTCCCACGTGGCACCCACTCGGATCACAATGCTAATTATGGCTGGAATGGGAGGGCTAGACAAGGATACTCAGGAGGGGGAGAAAAGAAATACAACTTATATATATATATATAATAAAAAAAGCCTAAATTGCTCTGAGTTCCTGCCTGTCTCGTAGAACGGCAAGCTGGCTATGAGCAGATGTTTTAATCAAACATTGAGGGAAAAACACTTTGGAAAGCATACAGAAAAAGGTAGTTAACGTTGAACTGCTTGGAAACGGAACCGCAGAGAGGCTGACCCAATGCATCGTCGGTCAACTTTTGCTTCCTAAATTCCTTGTCTGACTTCTGGTCCCAGTGCACATGGAAATGACAGCTGCCACGAGGGGAGTGCCACCCTGTCTCAGAGGGTGCGTGGGGTGTACTCGGGCAGCCGCTTGAGCTTCTCTTTCTCAGCCTCGCTCTCATCTCGTGCTATCACCAACGAGTGTGAATAGCCCATGGCCACCTGCAAGAACAAGCCAATGTCAGCAACATAAGCACCCCACACATCCCAGGTGTCGGATGCTCATGTGCTGGATTCACTGGCTCAGTGGGGGTCAGAAACTGGGCTGGGCCCTTGGAAAGCCTTCTCTCCCTGCTAAATGTCCAGTGTCACAGACCCGGGACCACCCAAAACTCACGCTCCCAGGCTGCAGGCCCAGATGGAAGGCCTTGAAGCCCTGTGGGCAGGGACTGGGGGGCAGCTCCATACTGCACTTGCTTTCCAGATCACAAGTCAAAATGTATTATTTGTTGAGGGACTAGTTTTCCTAACCCTGGCCTAGTAGCAAGGATCCCAGTTTGTGGGGGGTTGGGGAGTGATGACCATCGAACCAAGAACTTGCCAGGGATCTAGGTCAGCACCCCTCTGTCCCTCTCTCGCTGCAGGCTGTACCCTTCAAACACGCAGCAAGGGCAAAAAAGTCAGTCAAGGGATGTCACACAGCTCAGCAGGCTGTGGACAGCTGTGACACGGCAAGCCCACTCACCTGTTCTGAGAAGATACCATCCAGGGTCTTCACCTCCTGAGCTGCAGTGGAAGATTTGGGCTTGTGGTCCCCATATCCCTGGAAAGACAAAAACACGGACCGTAGCAAGGTCTAACCAAAGGAAAATGTGTGTTTCCAGGTATCGCTCACGGAGGTAAGAGATGAAGACACTGTGATTGTGTGACAACATCAGACACCAGAGGCTGACAGGAAGTGGCCAAGGCTGTCTGAGAGCACTGGACCAAGGGCGGCTCACCCTGAGGCTTATCCCACACCCTGGTCTCATCTTCCCTAATTTGAGGAATGGTCCCTGAAGCAGCATCACCTCCCTGCCCCTCAGGCTGTCACTAAGCCCGCGGTTACTAAGACACAAAGTTGTGTTTAGAAGAAATTTAAAAAAAAAAAAAAAGTTTTTTTTTCCCCCCAAAATTTTGTATTTGGATATTTTGCCTGTATGTATGTGTGTTACAGCTGTGTGTCAGGTAACTGCAAAGGCCAGAAGAGGGCATCAGATCCCCTACAACTATAGTTATAGACAATGGTGAGCCACCATGTGTGTGTGCTAGGAATCAAACCCTCATACTCTACAAAAGAAGGCAGTACTTATCCCATGAGCCATCTCTCTAGCCCCAGAAGATCAAGTGTTTTTTTGACAGAGGGTCTTAATTTGTAGCTTAGACTATCCTGTAAGCCACTAAGCCACTGACACTACTCCACCATGCAGTTCAGGCTGTCAAAGACCATTTCTGATGGGCCCCGAAAGCTATAACAGCCATGTATAGTGGCAAAAACCTTTAATCCCAGCATTTGGGAGGCAGAGGCAGGCACATCTCAGTTGAGGCCAGTCTGGTCTACATAGCGACAGTCAGAGCTACATGGTGAGTTGCTGTCTAAAGACTTCAAACAGAAGCTGGACATTGAAGGCACACACCTTTAATTCCAACACTCACAAGACAGAGGCAAGCGGATCTCTAAGAGTTTCAGGCCAGCTTAGCCTATACCTATAGAGTAAATTTTAAGACAGCCAGGGCTACACAGAGAAACTGTTTTGAAAAATAAACAAACAGCTGGAGAAATGGCTCAGTGGTTAAGAGCACTGACTGCTTTTCCAGAGGACCCGGGTTCAATTTCCAGCACCCACATGGCAGTTCACAATTGTTTGAAAATCCAATTCCATGGGATCTGACACCTCCACACCAATGCACATAAAAGATAAATAAATCATAAAATTTTTTTAAAAAAGAAAAATACAACAAACAAAAACACACCATCCATCCTTCTCTGAAAACACAAAAATGGAGGAAGGTCCTCAGTCTCAGGAGGGATCCCTTGGGTCTGGGAACCTGAGGAGTGGCTAGTGGCCCACGGACACCAGTGAGGGGAAGGACAGCTGCCTCTCTGACTCTACCAATGAGGAATGTCTGGAGGCCACAGGAGTCAGGATGGTACATGCAGCTCATACACTGCTTTCTGTGAGCGTGGATGACGGGTCCCAACAGTAGGACAACATCACTGTAGCCCCACAGGTCTGACACCTCCCACTGTCCTGTTCCACAGCATGGATGGTAGCAGTCTCACCAACCAGCCAGGACAGCTTTAGAACTTAAATGCCAAGCGAAACCCTCCTCTTGACTAGTCCAGCTCTTCCCAGACCCCAGGGGGGGTGGGGAGGGGCGGGTGGCTTACCAGTTCCCCGAAGGTTGGCGAAGGACCCCAACTGATGGTGCTCTCATCGGCCGCCACAATGATGCTGCTCTTCCTGCAAACAGGCAGAAGCTGTCACCACCCACCCGAGGTGAGGACATCTTTCAGGGCCACCTGTCCCACTGACTTGAGTCAAGGACACCTCTTAACACACCCACCACACCACTATATCGCAAACTCAGTAAGGAGTGAGAGGCTCCTCCTGGCCAGGGATGGTCCGCATTCGTTAGCGGGTCAATACCAGAGCCAGGCCTCATTGCCTATCTCTGTCCTGGGCCTTTCAGAGGGAGAGTCCTTTGGAAGAAATACTAAGGTGGGGAGGAGGCCACATAAGGACAAAGTGACAGTCCATCCTCAAGAGAGTTAACAAGAGGGACACGAGGGCAGGGGTGGAGGGCAGACAGACATAGGGGACCAGGGAGCAACAGCTTAGAGCCAAGCTAACCCACATACACCCGATTTATCACCTATAAGCACTGGGTAATTCAGCAGGTACCTTCAATGCGAACATCAAATTAAAAGTTGCTTCCCTATAGTTTCCAAACTCAGGAAAAACCACCTTATAAAAACTTTCAAAATTACTTTCCATGAAGAAAGGAGCCAACTATCTTAGCCACCAGGTCCTCACTCTCCCCTCCCCCAAATTTTGGGGGTTTGGTATTTTCTATCACCAGCCAAGAAGACCCCAAGTCAGCCTACCAGGAAGAAACAGACACCTCGCACCCTTGGCACAGTCACTTACCCACACGCAAGGCTCCGGATCCGCCAGCCACAGAGGTCCTGCACTGCTTTCGGGTACATAGTAGACTCACGGGATGTATTGGTGGCCCCCCAGAAAAACAGGCCACCTAGAAGGAGCAAAGCACATTAGAGTCACAAGAAAGCATCTCAGGACACCAAGGTGATGAACACCGGCTTAAATGGACATTGCAGAGATAGAGTCAGGGACAGAATGGCTGTGGGCCCTATGGGGGAACAGCTATTCCAAGAGGGAAACCTTGCACCTGGTTCCAACCATGGGTCCTGGGAAGGCAGGCAGGCAAAACAGACACTGACCCACTTCACTGACGGCAAAGGAGCAGGTATAGCCAGCGTAGATCTGGGTTGCACCACGCCCTGGAAAGTCAAACAGCTTCACCAGGCGAGGCACCATCTCATCCTTCTGTTCTGCATGGCCCAGTCGGCCGTAGCCACCAAAACCCCAGGAGAAGACTCGTTTCTGGGAGTCCAGGACCAGCTGCAGGGAGAGGAGACACAGACTGGGACTTGCAGGTCAGGGCTTCTGCCCAAGGACCTGGGACACCAACAGATGCAAAGGAGCAGCCCAGAAACTCCACAGCCTAGAAGGCAAGAAGTCAGCCAGCCAGCAGGGGCCAGCACACACTTCCTTTACAGATGTATTCTTTTTTCCTCTCTTAAAATCTTCCCTTTCCTCATCAAATGTCAAATGGCCACCTGCAGCAACACTTGAGTTCCTATTCCAACACTGTCTCAACTACAGACACAGGAGGGAAAGGCTGCTACCTACCTGCTCTGTGCTTGCCTGCCAAGGTGCACACAGGTGAGGCGGGCACAGATGATGTGCCAGCTGTTTATCATTTGCCTTTTCTGTCTTTGGGGTTTCACATCTAAACTCCACGAATGTGCAAACTCAGCACGGAACAGAGGATGTACAGTTCAGGGCCAGAGCACTTGCCCAGCATGTACAGTGCCCTAGGCTCCATACCAAGCACTGCTAAATATGTAACATGGGTTGCCCCAAGGTCGAAATTGGCATCCTGGTTCAAGGACTGCAGGCTCCAGACACATGCATTTAGTCATGAGCACCACCAAGTCGACAGAGAGTGGCCCTGGGACTCAACTCTGGGATTCCTTTCTGCTGTCAAAGCAAAACACCCAAACCAGACACACCTACTCTCAGCAAAGAGATCGAGAAGGGCCAGTGACAGGTGCACACTGCTCACCCCAGCACTCAGGAGGCAGAGGCAGGAGACTCTCTGGGAGTTTGAGGCCAGCCTGGTCTACAGAGCAAGTTCCAAGCCAGTCAGGGCCACAAAGTGAGGCTACCTTAAAAAGAGGACTGGTAAGATGGCCGAGCAGGCGAAAGCACTCGCCACGCAGGGCTGCTGACCGGAGTCACTCAATGTCCTAACTTCCACGTACTCCTTGAGCGCCTATGTCCTTGCAAAGACCAAGAGTTCAAGGCAGGAAAAGCACACAGGTTATCCTCCTAGTCTGCTCAGATGACCTTTAGGGGACACACCCTCAATAGTTAACCATTCATACCCTAATATGAATTCATATTCATAGTGACACAGTGTGTACGCACGTGTTTGAGAGGGTGTGCAGACGCACCTGGATGTTCATGCTCAGATGTGTCTGTGGCAATCAGGAAAACATGATGGGAAGGGAAACTCATCCAGCCTAATGACATTAAGCCCAAGTAAGGCAGACACCCACCCCAGGACCAGTCTATACAAGAATGGCTGGTTTTGGACAGTGAGAAAAAAAGAAAGCTTACTGTGTGGTTAGCACCACAGGCTACATCTCGAACTACCACATTTGGGACAGGCAAGATCTGCCCGTCCTTGGTCTTCTCAATGAAGATGGCCACCCGCCGGGGTACCAGCTCACAGTCATATTCTATCCGCTGTGCCCGGGCGATGAATTTCCCATCTGAGTTGTGTCCTGTGGTAAGCAGAGTCAGTCATCAGCAACAGCAGAATGCATAGGGCATGGAGGTACGCTACTACATTTGTACTGTCACGGGCCCAGGGGACCACCCTGCCCGCAGCCAGAGACCTAGCCCACCCACTTGGTTACGAGCTTGTGGGTAACACAGACCATTCTCTTAAAATGCATATAAAACAACAAGGATACCCTATGTAATAGGACCATAATTTGGGACACACCCTACATACACTCTAGGAGGCAAAGGAAAATGTGTTTCCTCCTGTGGCTGAGGTCACACCAGTAGGCAGCTCTCATCCTAAAGCCAATGGATCTACCAAGCACCTGCAGTTGGGAGTTCTGAGGACATCCAGAAGGGAAAGGGTGAGCACGATCGCTCACACAAAATTCTCCATTTCTGTCTACAAATTAGTAATTTAAACATACTGCAAAGGACATATAAATCCAAACACATTCAAGAAGTCATGAGGGACTGGGTCGGCATTAGCTTCATGGGTGAAGGGCCTGCTCCAGCCCAGCACTGAATTTGCATGTCTGTGACCCTAGGACCCAATGTTTTCTGGCTTCGTGCATCGGTGGTATATCCCAGCACTTAAGAGGCTGAGGCAGGAAGATCAGGAGGTAAAAGCCATCCTTAGCTACACAGGGAATTTCAAGCCAGCCTGGACTACACTGAGTCTATTTCAAAAACAAACAGATAAGGCATTGTGGCCCACACCTTTAATCCCAGCACTCAGATGCACGCTGATCTGAGTTTGAAGCCTGTCTGGTCTACATAGCAAATTCTAGGCTAGCCAAAGAAACAGTAAGAACCAATCTCAAAAAATAAAAAAAAAAAAGAGGCTAACAACAACATAAAAAGTAAATAAAACCACCAAATAAACAGAACAAGTCACAAGGGGCCAATCTGGGCCCACGAGCCAAGACCCTGGTTGCTTACAGTCCAGAACGTTCTCAGTCCCTGCCCCACCTCCCAGAAGTGCTGTGACAATGTGTGCTGCATCCACCTGGCAAGGACTGACCCACGGGTGAAGTGCTGTCATGGTAAGACACTGGCTGGTCCCCAGTAGGCTGCAGTTCTGCTCATCAGACCTTTACAGGTGGGGATGTGTGGGTGCTACACTACGAAAACACCCCTGGGCCACAACCCAATTGAGCACATCATGGTGCTGGGCTTGGCTTAGGTGTTGTTGGGGCTTGTCTTCTGTGTGCAGTTCAGATCACCCTCACACACCACTGGGAGGTCCCAGGCACTGAAAAGCCTGAGGCCACCAGGGACCTCGCCATCTTCCCAACAAGCTCTACTACTGACCAGGGCTCCCAGCAGTGTCTGCCCAAGTGTTAACTACAACCTGGCTGTCCCAGAGGGCAGCAGGCAGACCCTGCCACTCTTTTCCTCCCACCTCCTTAAAGACATTGCACTCAGCACCTGGCTGCTGTCATAGTGCAGGCAACTTTTCCTCCAGGAAGGTTGGGTGGGGGCGGCTACCTTCTCCCCTGGGAGGAATTCAATGTCCTTCCCTGGTCAGCCATCCCTGGCCAGCCAGTCACTGTAACAGAACCCCTCCTGAAATCACATTTGGATTCTAAGGGCAATGTCTAGCCCGAGACAGGAGCAGAGCTGGGGACTGGGCTGTGTTTAGCTTTTAGACAGCTTTCACTATGCAGCCCTGGCTGGCCTGTAACCCAGGTAAACTACGCCACCCTCAAACTTGCTGCAATCCTCCTGCCTGGCTTCTCAGTTGCTAGGATCACAGGTGTGTGCCAGAGTAGGAACATGCTTCAGAGTGAACTGCTGAGTTCAGAATGAGAGGCTCTGCACACCAGGTGAAGCGAGGTTCCTAGCTGCACATAGTGTCTACTGTCCTGCCAGAACCATCCCACGAACGCCATCCTTACTGCAAAGATCAAGTTGCTGAAGGCAAACAGGCTGGTTCTATTATCAAGATGCTTGTCTAAAGGCGGCAGGCAAGCTGCACACATAGCAGGAAGCACAGAAACACACTTCCTGTGCTGGGCCTGGGTATGGCAGGAGGCCCGCCTGTGGCTATGGAAACCGTTTATCCAACAAGCCCTGAGAACTCCCTGGCAACCAGCACGGATGTGCGTAAGGGGCTGGTCGAACCTCTTATTCACTTCTGACTCGAGGTATATTTAGTTTCCCAGAGTCACTGTTCCCTGTAGTCTACGGCCAGTGCAATGCTCTGCTGCTATTTATACTCTCCCATCTGCGCACTTCTAATGACGCTGGGACCCAGCAACCCAGATCCCGGGCTGCTGCAGGCTGTTCAGAAACCAGCAGGGGGCGCCCACGCCTCGCCTCCTGCTCAGGACTGGAGAAGGCACCAGAAGAGCAGCCTTAGGAGTCAGAGAAAGGAAAATGGAGACCTTGCAAAATTCGGGTGGCAAGCTTTGCCGGCTTTGAGGACAGTTTGCTGACTTCCTCTCTTCTGCTCTGTGCCTATATAATGCCCACTGTGGTGAGGGATGAGCTGCAGACATGTCAGCTGCTTACCCCGTCAGGATTTTCAGGACCTCACCCTTATGTAATTCTCTCACAAATAAAGGCTGAGAGTGGCTTAGCTTTTGTCCTTCTGAGATTCTCATACTAATGGATTTCCAAACCAAAGCAAAAGCTTTGCCAGCCTCAACCCCGATGTTTCCACTGAGGTAGAGCATCTTGACCCCTGTAACCTGTGAGTTAACAGCAAGCTGGCCTGCGGAGCATGAGATGCACTTAGCAGGGAGCAGCTACTATCTGGATCAATTATCCACACTTGTAACATGTGTGCGCAGCCCCACACTGCCTTCTGGCTCTACGTTTAGTTAGATTACAGAGCTTTTAAGAAATAGACTTCCATACCCAGCTGGCCATATTCAGGGCACCCAAAGGAATAGAGGTTGCCTTTACAGTCCATCAGCATGCTGAATTCAGCCCCGCAGGCCATTTTGGTAATTGGCTGCCCATTGTACATGATCTGAAAAGAAAAAGCCAACTTTCAGCTCCTTGTTATCTCTTCCTTATTCTACCCTGGTGCGAAGCAGAGGGCTTACCACGAGGGTGGATTCTATGGCTGGATGGCAACCACTTGAACACCTGTTAGCACAAAGCCGGCCACCCCCCACCCTCCCAGGACAGCAGAGGCTTCATACCCTGGAGTCTCCTAGCAGCAATTCCCCCCCCCCACCAAATCATCTGGCTCAAGCACAGGGACCAGCAGCAGGGAGGCAGCAAAGCCCTGCAGTGAGACCAAAAGCTGACTTCTGGGGCTCATACTGCTATAAGCCTCAAATAGGAAATAACAAGCAGGGCTTCCGTAAGTGAGTGACAGGCTGGTCCCACTGCACAGGGACAGAAACTTGGCAAAGGCCCTGACAGAAGGAACAAGCATTTAACCCTTGATGGCGTGGGTGAACATGGCGCCCAGGCTCATCCCATCCTTACTCATCCCATCCCATCCTTACTCACTCCATAACTCATAGCTAACAACACAGGAGCCCTTCATTATCCTTCAAACCCTACAGGCATAGCCATGAGAGTCCCCCACATCCACTCCTAAGCCACTGGCAGTCGGCACTGTTTTCCAGAGTGGAAGCCCCCTGCAGAACCTCTCACTCCATTCTGAGGTCAAAACTCAGTACCTGCCGGGTGGTAGTGCATACCTTTAATGGCAGCACTTGGAGGTAGAGGAAGGTCGTGAGTTTGAGGTTAACCTGTTCTACACAGGACAGCCAGACATACACAGAGAAACCTTGGGGGTATGGGGCAAGGGTCACAAACAACAAAACCAGAGTATCTGCAAGCGAGGAAACCCTTGCATCCCACGGCAGGGCTGACCTAACATCGCTCCTCTCCATCACATGTTCTCAAACCAAAGCAAACCTTGCTTGTACCTGAGCAGGGCTCGGGACAGCATCTGTCTGGTTCCCAAGGCCCAGTTGTCCCATCTTATTCTCTCCAAAGGCAAACACGGAGCCAGTGTCTGGAAGGAGAGAAAAACATGACAGAACAGGATGTAAGGGGTCAACATTTTCAACTGGATTTGGATCAGTGTTGGGAAAACAGCTCACCCTGTAGTGATATTTTGTTTGTGATCTAACAAATAAAGCTTGCCTGATCAGAGTGCAGAGCTAAGCCTAAGTTAGCTATAGAGGTCAGACTGTGGCCGCTCTTACCTTTAGTCCAAAAACTTAGGAGACAGAGGCAGATGGAGTTCAAGGCCACAAAAGAGTGATCCAAGAGAAATGGAGCCAGAAGTGGTAGCTCACACCTTTAGTCTCAGTACTTGGGAGTCACACACCTTTAATCCCAGCACTAGGTGAGTAGAGACCAGAGTGATATGGCTGGGGAGAGAGGACTATAAGGCAGGAGGAGACAGGAGCCCAGATGCAATCTGAGGACTCGTAGAGATAGGATCGCCCCTTCGGTCTGAGCACTGGTAGATGTAACAACTCTCTAGTGGCTGGCTGCTCCGCTTCTCTGATCTTCAGTATTAACCCCTAAAGCTGACTCTGGGTTTTAAGAACAACTAGAATTCGTGTTACATCATCCACTAAGCAGCGCGTGTGAGAGTTGTTGTGTGTGTGGCCATCTGTCCCAAGGACGGCAAGGGTGCAGAAGAGAGATGAGTCCTGCCATGCACAGGACTGGTCTGGGCAGCCAGGGGCCACCATAGAGCGCTCACTGCCTTCAGGAAGACGCCCACCAAACTGGGCCATCAGTGCCCTTTTGACACTGGCCCAGACTCAGTCAACTTCACCCACCCCGGAGAAAACATCTTTGTAGCCTCTGCCTCAGCTTCTTACCTGTCAGTGCCAGGGTGTGGTTGCGCCCACATGCTGCCAGCACGATTGCCTCATGACTGAGGGCCTCAATGAGTCTAGGGGCTTCAACCCTCTTGGTATCACCATGGCCCAGCTGCCCCTTTTCATTTCGACCTGTGAGGAAATCATGGCTGGCTAGGTCAGCAATGCAAGGACAAGTAAGGCAGCACCCACTCCCATGCCCCAAAACAAACCTTCAGCAAATCCCAGAGAGCAGGAATGAGCCTGGCTACTCTCCCCAGTGAAAAGGGGCCCCCTGAAAATATCTCAACAGGAAGTAGACAGCTACGGGACCATCCCTGTTGGGAAATATTATCTTCAGGTGTGTGTCTTTTGTTTATGTTGAATTTGTTAACTCTGTGAAGCTGTTACTATGCCTATCTAAAACACCTGATGGTCTAATAGAGGTGAATGGCCAATAGTGAGGAAGGAGCAAGGATAGGCAGGGCCGGCAGGCAGAGAAGAAAACTGGAAAGAGAACGAGGAGCAACTGGAGAACGAGAGGACGACATCAGGGGCCAGGCACCCAGCAAGCCACAGAGATAGAAAAAAGCCCCAAGGCAAAAGGCAATTAAGATAACGTAAGAAAAGCTAGCAAGAAACAAGCCAAGCTAAAGCCGGGCATTCATAAGTAATAAGCCTCCACGTGTGTGATTTATTTTAGGAGCTGGGTGGCAGACCCCCTCAAAAAGCCAAAAGAGAAAAACATCACACAACACAATTCCAATGGACCCCCAGTTCCTGTTATCCCAGGAAATGCTTGGTGTGGCCTGGATGCTCCGCAGGCATCAAGCTTTAGGAACCCAGTTCCCACCTGCCTTGCCGTGGCAGCCGGAAATACTGTCCCCTCCTCCTCACAGAGGGTCTGATTCCTACTGTTGATCTTTATTTCTTATGTCCATCCCCACCCTGTTATAAGATCCAAGCCCTGAGGCTGGAGAGATGGTTCAGTGGTTAAGAACACTGGCTGCTCTTCCAAAGGACAGGAAGGAGTTCAATTCCTAGCACCCACAGGGTAGCTTCCAACTATCTGCAACTCCAGTTCCAAGGGACCTGACACCCTCACATAGACATGCATGAAGGCAAAGTCCCAATGTACACTAAATAAATCTTTAACAAAAAAGTCCGAGCCCTGAGTACCCTCATGACAATGGTCACCTTCTTCAGGACAGCTGTGCTGTACCCATGGGCGTGTGAAGGCAAACAGGGGACCAAGCCCTGTGGACGCTTTAGCAATGCACAGCTCCTCAGGGAGCCTGATTCAGCTGAGGAAGGGCAAGGGGTGGGCTCCAGGGACAGCTGGAAGCTCTGAAATCCCACCCAGGTTCTAACACAGATCTAAAACAAAACCCCGAGTAACCCCAGGACCATCTGTCTCAGAGATGGATGCACATGAAGAAGTCAAGGTGGAGTCGGCAGAAGGCTACCGGTAGGGTGGGGTTCCCACTAATCTTCCCCAGTGGTGAGCGTCCCCTTCTGGTTGGTTCAGTCACGAGACAGGTGAGCGAACTGAGGAGCCACAGCAGACTGCAGGAGGCAGGCAGACAGGGGACCAGCTGCCCTCATAGTGGACCCCTCCCAGCAGATGGGCATCAATTAAAGGGCTAGATTCAGGGTCAGCGCTGGATAAGCGCTAACTTCAAGAGGAGCCTGCCACGCCCAAGTCCAATGGCAGGCAGGCTGGACGCAGCTCGGAGGCCTGGTACAGAGCAGCAGCCTCTCCTTCTGCTCAGGACGCATCTGGTGCCCCTCCCCTTCCAAGTGTTTCACAGTGGTCTCATGACCTCCTGCAGATCTCTACAACCCTGCTGCTGTTCTAGGGAGCCCCCCTCCACTCAGGAGGAAGCACTTTTGGCACAGGGTGTGCCTTGAGGTGCAATCGAGAACCTGAGTAGCGGTGAGACCGGCATGGAGATCAAAGAGGAGTGCTGAGGCCGGGGAGCTGACCTAAAAGGCCTTGGCGGGTCCTGAGGACGCAGCAGCAGGGGATGCAGGAGGGGCCCTAGACCAACCCAGAGAAAACAAAAATTGGGGCAGATGTTGGTGTGCCACCCAGAGCCTGGGAGGATAAATGTGGGCCACACACACGTTAGATTTTTTTTTCAACAGAATTATAAAATTAGCAAAGTGCAGAGAAGACGGCAGATGTTAATATATTTGGACTCTGGTACAGCAGCTCATGAAATCACCAAAAAAATGGCTCAAACAGACCAAAATAAAAACGTCATATGGACTAGAAGCCAGCCAAAGGCTAGAAACAAATGAAAGAAGCCAACTCCCCCAGCTGCATGAGCCCTGTGGCTTGGATGACGCGAGCCTTGTGCAGTACCTCCTCCTGGCCTACCTGGAAAAAGTGATAGCTGGGAACCACAACATAGCCTGGCAGGAGGGAGGCAGGGGAATGCGGGCAAAGGCCCTAAATCAGACCCGAGACCAAGGGGCCTCGTAACAAGATGTAGTGGCTACAAAAACCAAGGGACAGTATTTAGACTGTGGGGACACAGGCCTCGTGTCACATGGTGCCACAAGCAGGAGAAGGGCCGAATGCAGGGACAATAGGCCAGAACAGATGGCTCGTCAGAAAAAAATCATACTTGTCTCAAGTTCAGAAAAACATTCTTCAAGAAGGATTCAAAGAACAGGAACTAGTGAGATGGCTCAGCAGATAGTGGAACTTACTACACAAGTCTGGAGACATGGGTTGAATTCCCAGAACTCACAGAAATGTGGAAGACAAGAACTGACTCCCAAGTTGTCCTCGGGTCTCCACATGCGCAAACATGCAGACACAGACACACGTGGGGGAGGGGGAGAAGCAGTCATGGATCCAGACAGAAGACAGAACCTCTTCCAGGTAACTCTAAGTGCCACTTGAGAGAGAGAGAGAGAGAGAGTGTGTGTGTGTGTGTGTGTGTGTGTGTGTGTAGCCCACATCCAGTACTTACCCCAGCTCCACAGCTTCCCTTCTGTGGTGATGAGGAGGCTGTGGGCAGCACATGAACCTGAAACCACGGTCCGCACCCGGACTCCCGACAGGCACCCATACCTATGGGGTCCCCACAAATTCTGACCAAGGTTGCGATAAGCAGCTGCAAAGGGAAGAACACAAGTTAAACCCCTGCAGAACACAACTGGACAGGTGAGGACACCCCAACATATCACCAGGGGTCGCAAAAACCAAGCCTGCCTGGTGTCACTGGCCACCTCTACAGTGATGACACCAACACCTCTCCTCTGACCCACACAGCTGCTGGGTCCCAACCCTACTCCAGTGGGGTGACACATGCTCCTCACTGGGCGCTCCCATCTACCCTCCTGCCTACACCTCAGGCCTTCCCACAGCCAAAAAGCAGGTCTTTCTCAGCAGGATTTGGTGTCCCCATCATCCTAAGACCTACTCGCTTCCTTAGATGGAGGGCGTACTGCCATCCACTCAGCTTACCCACACCCAGGAACCTCAGCCTGTCACCTGACTTGCCCAGCAAGTCATTTCCTCTACACATCCTCCCATAGCCCCTAGTAACCCTTCAGACTTTCCAGGAAACCCAATCTGACTTTGCACTGTACCCCTTATTTAACCTGCACCGCACTCCAAGCATCCCACTATTATAACTGCCTCTGTAACAGGCAGCAGGGACAGGCCATAGACCTGCCCTTGCCACTCCTACTTCCCAAGGCAGGGAGGGGTGTGACTTTCTTTTACCCCCCAGGACAATGGTGGCCATCTTGAGAAACTAGCCACAGTTCAGGTGACCCAGACACGGACCCACTAGCAAGGGAAGGAAAGGCCTTCCACTGGTCACCCATGGACTGCAGCAGTACCAGGCACTGTACAGGTAGAGGGGGTCAGGGGTGTGGCAGAAAATGGCCAGATTCTTGACTAGCTGGCTCCCCAGCATCCCGCCAATGCCTTTCCCTGAAGAGGGTGCCATCATCAGCCACAAGAAGAGGGTGCCATCATCAGACCATCTCTCTGTTCCAGAGACTCCCACCCCCTATTTCAGTCGAGAGAAGCCCAAGTCAAAGTCAGAAGCTGGCAGTGGTCTCAGCTTCAGAGCCAGGCTGGTAGACATTCATCCCTCAGTTTCCAGACCCCCAGGACCTGGTCTCCTTACCACAGGCTATAGCAAAGACCACCATGCTGCCTTTGGAGTTGCAAAGATCCAAGAGTCAGGGTGGGTAGGTATGTGTTCCTCCTCTACCTGCAGGCTGGTGAGAAGCAAACCTTGCCTAACAGCTCTAGGCAAAGTTACAGACAGCCCAGACATACCTAAATGACTTCAGAGACAGCGAGGCCAGGAAGAGCAAGTGAAGATGGGGGCAGGAGGCTCCCTGGGATGGGTGGGCTGGTAAGACTCCCAACACTAGCCCGGGGTGCTCTGGACTTGTGGCACACAGAGGGCATGGGAGGGAGAGTTGACAGGCAGATAAAGGTACCCCTACCATATCTACAGGGCAATAGACACTGGCGAGCAGGAACTCTGTGTGCCCCAGCTGCAATGGCCACTCTGTTCACTCATGAGGACTGGTAGGTGCCCAGGGCTGTGCTGAAGGATGGGATCTTCCACAAGGAGCAGCAGCAGGTCAGCTCCATCCATACCATGCAGGACACCCTATCATCTTCCTGAGGCAGGATGATGGCAAAGGCTCTAGGTTTGGGCGCTAGGGTGTGCCGGTGTTCAAATATTTGTTCACGGACAAAGCAATGCTGGGAAGCACTTTGGGCACGTTTCCAAATGAAATCAAGAGCCATCAAATGTGGCGCTGTGCCAGCCAGCCCTCTTCTCTGGAGGCCCTTCAGGAAGGGACCCATCTTCGACAAGCAGCAGGACACAGGAAGACGGCAGGACTGCACCCACTCTCTCTCCACAGCTTACCAGTTCCACTGAGGTGTTCTAACAAGCCAGTGAGCAGCCTGGACATCTGTCTGGGGCCTCATGGCTCCTCCACACAGGGACAGCCCCTTCCTTATAGTGAAAGGCAATCTCAAGGACTCAAGGGGCCATGCCTGTTTGAGGACTTCATTCCCCTGAGTAATCTGAGTGTTTTAAACACAGGACAGTGAAGGGACAAGCATGAGACCAGGGTCAGCTCAAACGCAGCACCCTCACCTCAGCAGAGTGACTTTGTGGCCTCAAGTCATTTGCTTGGCTTCTCTGAACAAGCCCACAAACACAGAGAATACCTACGTGGTGGGCAGGTACTAGCATTCCTCTGGCCCCCTGGGTTACAAGAAGCAGTCAGTCAGTCATCTTTCAGACAGTTTCTCATACCTTGTTGCTTAGGCACTTCCTTCCGTCCAATCAAGTCCCAGTTTGTTGCCCCAAAAATCAAAAGCTGCCCTTTGCATTTAGACCCTTCGAGTTTCTAGAGAGAGAGAGAAGGCCAAGAATTAGCTTGTTAAGACTGCTTGTTGCTGGCACTCACAGCTGTCCTAGGAAATAGAAGACACAAGGTCTCTACAGCCTCAGCCGTGTGGGTTGCAAATGTGCATACAGCACCGCACCTGGCTTGAAGAAAATTCTTGGCTGGCGCTTTCATACTGGCACAGGTCCCATCCAATAAGCCCCTCATCTATGTGCTCCAAGGTGGACGACCCCAAGCCCATCCCCAGAAGTCTCAAGACTGAGCTCAACACTAATGCTGAGCCAAAGGAGAGCTCTGTTCTCCCCATTCAGGAGCCACACCACGAGGCCAGTTACATATTCCACACTATAAGCATCAAGGGGTACCGGCAGCCTTCACACTTCAAGCCCCACATGTCTTCCGCATGGTCACCACAACATCAGTCCCGTGTTTTTAACAGGAAAGGAAGGAGGAATGACATCTGGGTACCTAACTTCATCTGGGAGATGAAAAGGGTCAAGACAAGGCTCAACTTTGGTGGGGCCGCAGGGTCTAATGCAGAGGGGCCTTTCACAGACCATTCGATGCTGCCCACAGCGGGGACAGGACCAGTGGTTAAAGGGGGACTTTGTCACTGGGACTTCCAGACAAGAACATGACTCCTTGTCCCCTCCACATTTAGAGATGGGATTTTGCTCTGCAGTTCTGAGATGACCTCTCAATCTCAGTGGTCGTCCTGCCTCAGCCTCCTGGTACTAGAGTACAGGTACACAGCACTCCACCTGTCCAGTCATCTCAAGCACAGAAACCCACAGCAGGGCTACTGAGCCCCACTGCCCGGAGCTCACACTTTAAGGCCACTACACAAATTATGGGCTGTGCCCATAAAATCACCAGTACTCTCCCTCTCTGCCTTCAAAGAAGTCGAATACATTATTCTTTCCTTTCAAAATTACTTGTAGGCTGCTGAGCTGGCTCAATGAGATAAAAGGACTCATCACGCAAGCCCGATGAATCGAGTTCAAATCCTCAGGAGCCATGGCCTCTGTGTGCTCACACTCACACATACAAACAAATAAAATGGATATCTTTGAGGAAAATGCACTTTTGCTTTGTTTGAGACAAAGACTCATTATGTAGCCCAGTCTGGCCTCCATTTATATAATCCTCCTGCACCAGCCTTCCAAATGCTGGGTTTCCAAACACACTTCGTGGAGGCAGAGAAATGGCTCAATAATTAAGAGCATTTACTGCTCTTATAGAGGACTCAGACATACCCACAAATATGGAGTTTTGTGTTCCTAGTACCCAGATCAGGTAGAGAGTGGCTCAGAACTCCGTGTAATTCCAGTTCCAGGGGATCTGACACCCTTTGACCTGAGGGCATCTGTGCACACATGGTGTAAGCAGGCACACACAAACAGAAAAAAAAAAACTTCTTTGTAAAGTATATTGTAAGCACAGTGGTAAATGTCTAGCCTGGGCAAATCCTTGGACTCCATCCCCAGTACAATAAGCAAATACACAATAAATAAGAACAATTAAATAAAATCGGTTGTTAGGCTCAATTTATGTACCTATCCCTACTCCTCCATCCTTAAGAAAGAGACCCTTGTGGAGGCCTGGAGCAAACCAGAACTGAGCAGCAGCTACAGTCCTAAACCTCCAGTGACCCCAGGTCAGCTGTCCTGGACAACACCCTCCATGGATTTCCAGCAGCCACATTTTATTGGGGGGGGGGTCTGACATCCCAGGCGTTCCCAGTATTATGGTCCAGGAGGCAGATGGCAGGGACCAAGCTACAAGACCGACTCTGCTGCAGGCCCAGGCCCACAGAACTGGAGTAGCCTCCCTGTTCAATTATTCAGGAGTGTGGGGTGTGGGGCAGCCTTCCAGCAGCAGACTCAAGTTACCGATGAAAGCCTGCTTTCCCTTCCTCTCTCCTTTGTTGAAAAGCAGGTGTGGCTGGAAGTCTACCAGCCTCAGCCCATAGCACCGGGCCCTCTGAAAGGCCATCACTTACTTGTGTATGCTCGACCATTCTTCAGGTCAGGACTTTGAGGGGTCCCCAGATATAAAGCGGCAAGGTCTCAAAACCAGCAGGACTCCAGGCCAGACAGCACTGCACTAGCAGCTTCCATGGAGGTCAAGGGTTCCCAAGGCACTCAGAGAGGTAACCACACAGCAAAGCTTCGTGAGTGCTGTGGTCATCCTGAGCTGAGCTCCACCAGTCCAAGGGGCTGGTGGCCAGTACCTACTGCCTACTGCCAGCCCTGGGGTTCCTGAAGCTTTCATGCCAGCTAGTATGTACAGGAAAGCCCTGTCTGTGAGCAACCTTGCCTGGCTGCCCATGAAAAACACGGCCTGTGACGCTGGCTCCAGTCTCACATCACGGCCCGGGTTCTCACAGCAGAGGAATGACTGCATCCACCATCCACTGCCAATACCTACACAGCTGTTTACTAGTAACCACAGTTCCTCTCTACAGCCTACGTCTCCCCTCCTTAGGGAATAAAAACTTAAATTAGTGCTATTATAATGCCCTTTCAAGCAAAACCCCCAGAAAAAAAACAAAAAAACAAAAACAATCCAAACAAAAACAAACCAAAAAGCCTCAGCCACAGAACTGCAGCAACCTATCCCATAAGTCTGTTGGGCCTATCCAGGGAACCCCGGTGAACAAATGGATTTGGGAGGACTTGGGGGCTCAGTGGAAGAGCGTGTGCTTAGCCCTGGACTCAGTTCCAAGCATCAGATGGAAGGAGGTAGGGAGAGAAAGACAGGAAGGAAGAACAAGCCCATGGTTCCCCTGCTCTGCAAAGGCTAGCAAAGCCTACACTGACTGCACTGTACCTGAAGGCATGCAGGCGAACAAAGGCCAGGAGTCCAGGATGGGAGAACTCCATCTCACCTAGCTACCTACCTCCCCATGACTGGCCAAGGCAGAAAACGCACTGAGTATCTTTAATCAACAACAAAGTGGGAGTACTTGGCCATAGCGGTTTCTGAATTGTCACCCAAATACACTCAGCAAGGCTGAGAGTCAACCTCTTCACAGGTCCAGTGCATTTCCAGGAGACTGACGCCCTGAGACAACAGTCCCTGAGGGCTCCCACTCCAGGCTTGGCCTTCAATCATGTTCACTATGAATGGACAATGTGTCTCAGGGGTCCATGAAACCTTAGCAACCCATTAAAAAACCCATAGATCAGGCGATAGTGACACACTCCTTTAATGCTACCGCTTAGGAGGCAGAGGCAAGTGGATCTCCAGGCTAAAGCTACAGATCGAGTTCCAGGACAGTCAGGGCTACTATATAGGGAAACCCTGCCTCAAAAAACAAAACAGCAAAACAACCAAACAAAAACCACTCAGAGCAGGACTGCCTGTGCCACTCACCAGTTTCTGAGGATTCAAGCAAGACTACTGGGAATGATGAATCACCCTCTTCCTTGAAATACACATCCTACACAGCTACCTGTGAGTCTCCAATCCTTGACTAACATGGGACAAGACGAAATCACTAACTTAGGACAAGACTGAAGTTTTCTACAAACCGCCCCTTAACAATGCAAGCACGTGGCTCATCTTCCCAAGCCCAACACACCTGCAAGCTCAGAATAAGGGAAGGGGAAGGCCAGAGGCTCAGACACTGGCAGAGGAGCTTCCTTCCAGCAACTCATAGGGGAGAGGCTGGTGTCTGTTCAGTGAAGTAACTTCTGAAAGATCAAGAGACTTTAGCCTACCACAGCAAACAGTTCCTGATTTGCCTAGAGGAGAAAGACCATGATGGCCCTTGGGCCAGAGACTTTGCCTAGGCCTGTGGGAAAGAATGCAAGGCTGTGCTGCTCTTGACCTTGAGAAACCCAATGCAGAATTTCCAGGTGCAACAGAGTATCACTTCTGAATCCCCACAGGCCCCTGCCTTCACCCATCCTCCATGGCCCTGTACTCACCAGTGTGAGGATCCAAGAAGCCCCCCTCCCTGCTTTAAGGTGACAGACACAGCTTTTAAGTTCCTGTTTCTACACATATACGGGAAGTTAGCTGTACACAGAAACAAGCACACACTGCAGGGGGCTGCTTCCCTCAGAGATGGCATGTCTCAGAAGGACACAAAGTGCCAAGTGCAATCCGGGGTTGGAGGAGGTAGAGACGGATCTCCGAGTCCCTGCTACACGCCGTTCTTCCACTCCTCGTGCAATCCACTCCCACTCCTTGGGTTAAGATATCTTCCCAGACTATAAACTCGCTGCTCTTGCAGTGGACTAGAGCAGTATAGCTGCTAGCTCACACACAAATAATCCAATTCTACATGACGTTCCCAAGCTCGCGAAAAACCCCATACAACAGAGGCAGGACCCCATCAAGCCTTTTCCACCCCCACTGGTTTTTCCAAGATCAGCCTAACTTCTTAACCCTGTCCTAACTCTCTGAGCTGGGGAGTAGGAGACCAATTGGTGAGTTCCTCTTTTAATAGGCGGGCTGAGACCATCGCGCTATCTGGTTGCCTCATGTAGGGTTCCCCTGCATGCCTAGCCAGGCCCTTCCTTCCACTTCAGGGCTGTTTGTGAAGTACGTTCACGGGCGCGATCTGCGATGGTTAAGGGCTCTCTACGATCCCATCTAGTGTGTCTGGATGGCTGTGAGGCGCCCAGGTCCCTTTAACCCTTGTCACCTCTCCAGGGCACCCTCCGAAACAAGGTGACACTCTCCGAGGCTCAAGCCCCATCTCGTTCTTAGGATTAACATGAGAATGTGGTTTCTTGCCGGGATGGAGAGCAGAAGTGTACCAAAGAAAACTTGCACACAAAGTTCTAGGAGGGACGCTGCGGACCCTGGGCCCGGCTCGTACCGGTCCTGGCGAGGGTTTTTCCGCAAGCATCAAGTTAGATGGCAGAGACCAGAGCGCCCAGGCGGGCCAACCCCACAGGCCCCACGCCGCGGCCACCCGAGGCAAACAAAGCACAGCGCCGCTCTGCGGGGGGTCGCGGGTGGGAGGAGGCGAGCCCCCGGGCGGGGAGGGCCTCCGAGGAGCATGCGCGCTCACACC